TCGCGATCAGTTCCTGAACTTAACATTGACAATACGGCGGCTCGCATTCTATTTGTCACCGTAACATGACTTCAAATTTAATTTTATGACTCTTCAGCCAATAATAAAACTCGGTTAGTTAAAATTATCCAATACGAACCACCAATTCTACAATCCACGTGGACTTTTTCGCAGACGGTTCATTTCTATGTATTGGTTTTTTTGGCTTTTGAGAGTGCCGCCAACTTCAAGTATTCACAATATTGTTTACTTCGACTATACAAGTTCGAAATATACCCATGCTGCAAACGTTTCCGAATGTCACATCCAATAACTTCTCCTTCTCTTAATTTCGCCTCAGGTTAACCAATGAAGTAGTTACAAATAATGCGGCCTAATAAACGAATTGTTTTATCAAACCAAATTTGATGTGGAGTGGAGTGAGCAAACTTTTTTGGGCTCTACAAATCTCACCCTCTTAGGGCAAGCGCACACTACAGACTTTTTATCGGCTGATAGTTTAGTTGGATGCTTATTAGTATAGAATCGTAATGTGAGTCCGCACATCTGAGCGATTCCAGTCGGCCGACTGAATAATCGGAAACAAGTTGGTTAGGCTTCCCAATTCTGATTCAATCACAAAGTTGGACAACTATCGGCCGAGTTCTAATCAGACTGTGTGTTTGTGAGAGTGCGCAGTCTCACCAACTGAACAATCGGTGCCTGCAGACTCCCCACTATACATTCTATTGGTGATATCTGATATCAAATATTATCTAGTACCTACTTTATCTTTGAATATATTTACGTTTTCATCACATTTTTTTTTCATAATTATGTCAAATATTGCCGAATGTTCAGTAGAAAATTTAATTGCGTAAGTTGTGCGCACAGGTATTGGGCGTCTTAAATTTGAATCTTTCTTCATAATTAATGGTCCGACTAGTCTATCAAGTTCATTGAAGCTGGTTATCCTCATTTTATAGTAAGCGAAGAACATTTTTGGATATTTCAGCAGCTTTAGTCTCTGATCAAATCATTCAAATCAAAGAAAGGTGTAGGGTCGCTTGTAACAATATAACCTTATTATTTTTCAAGTAGAAACTTCACTTACACATTTACGATAACTGAAAATATCAATTATTTGTGTTGTTTTTCGAGTCCCTTTACACCATAGGGATTAGAGATTCAAAACACAATGATTTTGCATTTGAAACCACTGGTTCAGTTCCTCAATAGACTTTGTGTAAGGCCCAAGGTTTATCTTGATGTAATCGTAATCTGAGTAAAATCGCCGATCGATTTTATTATTTTTTTATCTGATCAATACCGTAGATTGCTGAGGAGAGTGGTGAAATGAAACCGTTCAACATTAAATATTTCTTTACTTACTTCATTCTCTTTCAAATTCAATGGGAATCGCTTCTTTCGCACAGGCACCACTTTTAGAGCGCCTTAAGGATGTTCCTATGGTGCTTGTGTTTTGTCCTTGAAAAATTTCACCCTAATGCAACACAGTTCTCGGCACGTTTTAACATTTTACCTTAACGTCACACATTCCTCGACACGATACAAAATCTTGACTTGGGTGGGAGATCCATGCTTGTATCCTGATTCTGAGTTGACAAAGTTTTTTGTATAGATTATATTGGATTTGCATCTGTCATTTGATACCCATATTGAGGTACTTGCGAAACAATATGTAATCCGCCATTTTGTATACGCGACCATCTTGAATTTTCATCTTTTTCAAATTTGTAGTACTATTCTACTAGTCAAGCCCTGTCATTTGATACCCATATTGAGGTGATTGTGAAAAAATATGTAATTCGCCATTTTGTAGCTGCGGCCATCTTGAATTGGCATATTTTTCAAAGTGTACTACTATACTACTAGTCGAACCCTGTCATTTGATACCCAATGTATGAATATGAAATATGTAATCCGCCATTTTGTAGCTGCGACCATCTTGGATTTACAATGATACATAATTTATTAAATTGTATTGTTATCGAAACTAAATGTGTGTACCAATATGAGATCAATCTGTCAACAAAAAGGGTGTCAAACTTCAATTAATAAATTCGACTTGAATAAACAAATAAACAGGGCAAGCTAAATAAAACCGTTTAGAAATATGAAGTTTTCAGAGCTACTTCAGCTGAAAGTACGAGGAGATGGTCTGACGAAGAGTAACTGAATAATTACGAATACCTGGTTTCCAAATGGATGGTTTTCTCTTTGAAGCTTAACCAAAACAAGTATCTATCACTTCGTCGCAAAAAGGTTAGAGGTTCGACTCCTAATTGACTTTAAGCATTTCAGAGTTTGCCCAGAATATTCCATTGAAATGTCGTTCGAGTGAGCAGAAAAGTTTTGAAATGCGTTTTAGAATGCCGAATAAAGAAATCCTTCGGGCATAAGGTGGAAAACGGAAATAATAAGCATGATAAAAGCACGTATTTTTCAAAGAGAAAAGTTCCGTTATGCAAAACTACTGAGCACAGTGAATAGAAATAGAAAATTGCGTCAAAGCAGTCCAACATATTCTCTTACTTAATTAATGTCTGGTTTTTCCGAGAGAGCTGCGATTTTTTTTTCAGAAAAAATAATGAGTATATTTACAAGAGTAAAGTGTGGGTTTACGACATTTTTGTTTGAAATATTATGTTTGAAAGCGCAATATATAACAATATTTGCAGATTAGAATATATCACAAATGATATTATTTTTTATGAAATAACAAAGACTATGTTTTGGATAACATTTTTTCAGTTATAGAAGACTCCTAATATAGTTCCTCCGGATCAATCTAAATCAAATGTTTGTGAGGGAGCATTAAGCTTGTTATGAAGAAATATCAAATTAACGTAGACACATTTTTTCTCTTGATGTAACGTAAAAGAAAGTTTCAGATGCCAATTCTTGAATTAATCGCATACAAATATCACTGCCTGACTAATGGGTAGTAATATTTCCTTAAGGGGAGCGTCCCAGGAATACCACGCTATGGAAAACTACAAAGCGCGATTTAAATTAGATCTATTGAGGGTAGGGTGTCGAATAAAATAATATTACAAGGAAATAAGGTTAAGAAGAAAAATAAATAGATTCTTACCCTTGTTCTATTTCATTTCTATAATCTTCGGTTAACATACATACCTGAAAAAAAAATAAAATAAAATTGACCTATTTGAATATTTCAAAAAAAGAGGTAAACTTCAAAATCCATCAAATTTTGCGATTCTGCAACATGCATTCTGTTAGTTTTTGAAATGTTATTTGTGGTTATTGTTATAAATCATGCCCTAAAGAAAATAACGCAGGCCGCCACTGGTAACCATAAACCAATTGTGACGTAGCGACGAGCGCGCGAATGTTCGATGTTCGCTGCCTTTCCAAATGTATCGAGAATAATGCTACCGGCTTTGATAGAATTCCGAGGAATGTTCTAGGATTCTAGCGCCTTCGATTGCCAAATATAAGCGCCATCCACTCGCCCATCGACAGTCTAGTAGGGGCAGTTACAGTGCGGTGCGCAGAGCGATCTAGTAAGGCGATAGACATTCGAGTATCAGTTGAAGTTGTAGTTTAAGTGTTGGTTGTTTTTAAAGGAGCAATGTATTAGATTTTTGATTATTGTTCAGTGGAATTTCAGGTGGAAAAACAATCATCCTCAGGATTAACACATTGCTTGAAAATTTCATGTCCATCGAGGTGTTGGTGTTCTCTATAGACTCCTTCGAAAAATAATTGTCGAAATGGGAGTTAACTTCAATTTACTAGGGATAAATTGAGTCATGCATCCGGTTTATGGTTCACTGTATTTTTGGGACTGTTCGATTATCATCCATTTTTTTTTCAATATTTCACAAACTCCAGTATTTGGTATCTTTAGGGATATTAAAGCCTTTTATCTCTCACTCAAAATGTTTTCATGTATAAACTCAGGGAGATGAAAAACCATTCGTCATTCAAACGAATGACGGTTAACAATTCAAAAAACCACAATACTGAGGACGCCTTCATTGCAATCAAAAACCATTACTGAAGGCATATATGATGAGACAAGAACAAAGTATGCTGTAGCTAGTGAGTTGAATTTTTTCCAGTATGGTTTAGGTATAAACCAAGAGTATAAAAAATATATAGTTAAAGGAGTGAACTTATTTGTCGAGTTATTTTTCCAGTCATCAGATTAGCAACATATACAGTAATGAACACACAACATATTGATCAAAATGCAAATGTTTTAGTACTTCTGATTTGCAGGATTGAGCCATTTATTTTCATATTCATATATATTTTTTTTATTCTGAAAACTTTTTTTCATTATTATAAATACAGAAAGCCAGTTTTTTAATATATTGAAAAAAGTATTACACTGGTTTGAGAAAAAACGGTTTTTTTAAATGAAGTATTGCTAGGTAAATATAAAAAATCACTTTGCAGACATTTTGACCCGCCCAAAATTACGTATCTTATCTTCGGCGGCAGAGCTATATAGCTCCTTCCCAGTCTGCTAAAGAAGTGGTAGGAGTGACAGTTCTACCACCCGTTGACACGGCTGAAGAGGGGACTTGCATCATACCACCAATGGAGTCAATCAGAACACGCAGAGCGCTCCACAAAATTAGGCCCCTTAAGCCACTGACAGAATGGTACTGGATATAGCCTGTAAAATCGTCAGGAGTTCGGATCTCCTTCTCTGCAGGGTCCGTGACCATGAGAGAGCAGGAATTGGAGCATTTCTCTTTAGGGCAGCTGTTAGAGCAGCTGATAAACTCGGTTTAGTTTTCGACACTGAACGAGGTGACCACAACTCTGTCACCGAATTGAAACCCGTTCAGCAAAAATTTCATATAAAAGCCGCAGAGATCACCTCACTTCTGCGGAAACACAAGGATAAGCCAAGGCACGGAGTCTTCTTCAATAACATTGAAGACCTTGGCTTATCAAAGTGCCTGACTTTCGCTTTTCTCATGTCGAGTGGGCTGAAGTCGGAAACTGAGGGGTTCATCATGGCTTGCCAAGATTTCACCACCTTAGACTACCGAGTCTGCCACGAGGCAGGCCCTGCACCTTGCGTCAGGCAGGCAGTATGTCCAGCATATGCTGTCTCGGCCTATATCCATCGACATAACGCGGCCCTAATAGTGCATCTTACGGTATTGACGAGACACCGGTGTTGCCCTACGCTCCAGGGGATATTGAATCCGTTGTGGGGAACGAGAAGTGCCGAATTTATTGGAACTATTCGTTTCCCAATTTCAGACTCATACAAGCTAATGAGCCTGATGTAGTCCTTCTCGACCACCAGAGCAAAACGATAATTGTCGTGGAGTTTTCAGCTCCTGGCGAGACGGATATCGTCCGAAAAGAGGAGGAAAAACGGATAAAATATCGAGATTTTCTCTTTGAACTCCACAAACTCTATCCAGACCACTCTATCAATATGTTTGTTCTGATTATTGGAGTCCTTGGTAGAATGATGCCAGCTCAATTTTTAAATATTAAAATCATACCGGCTTGCCGCAGTAAGGCAGAAATCTTATCCGGACAGCTGCAGAAGGCTGTCATTATTGGCTCACTTCGCTTGCTCAGGGCACATAATTCTCGGACCCAATGATCACTCACCCCAAGGTGTGGGGAGTGGTCGTTGGTTGATAATGCTGGCGCGCCGTCCTGAATGTATCGGGACTTCGGAAGATAGGGCCTGACCAGCTCACACTACGGTGATAATAATAATAATGTTTATTCATGATACAGTGCATGATGCGTGATACGAAATACAAAATTACTGTACATATAAATACAGAAAAATAATCAGTGGCATCACGAAAGTAATACTTGTGTGTGATGTTGCCAAAATTACAGTATATACCTAAAAGTAACATAATCACATAATAATATTATATTATTTATGTATTTGATATAACAGGTCGAGTACAGTGTATTGAAATAGTTCCACCAGCATTCGATAAAATACACATACCAGTGATAAATGTCAAAATCAGAAATATTATCATTAGATAAATATGACAGATGAGTGAGATATGCCATATTCAGGAGGGTAGAAAAGTCAAACATGAGAATAAGGTCAAAACTAATTAATAGAGTTTATTGTATCAAACGTAACCTACGTTTAAGAAAGCTATTGTATAGCAAAATACGTGCCGCGGTTTTTGTAAAACCCTTTATAATGAAAATCATAGTATAAACTGTATTAGTTTTAATATGGATTTTCATCAAGAATCGGTCAGTTCTATTCAATTAGTATAAGTTTAACTCTGAAAAGTAAGTCACACCAAAGCATCAATTATGTGACTGGTTCCTGTTGGGTACTTAATTAGGCCAATTGATCCACATTTTCGAATGAATCATAGATGTGCAAATTCCCACGATTTACTTTAATTCAATTACTTCAATTATTTTCGATCGGGAGTGAAATATGTTCTTAAACATTAAACTTAATCATTAAACTATATTTCGTTTCGAAATAAATAGTTCCTAATGAAAAACAGGAATGAAACCATAAACCACACCAAAAATTTGTAATATGACTAAAAAATTAATAATTTTCAAAAGTTAGCCATTTGATAAAAAATGGGAGTTACTAGGAACTCAAATCGTTTTATGTTACACTAATTTGTGTGTTCCTAGTTTTTGGCGTACCTTATATGCACTGACAGATCTCGTCGAACCTATAAACAAAAAAATCATCAGCTATACAATCATGTATAGAAGTAAGTACATATTTCATCAGAAATAGTCGTTATTTTACCTCCGCCCATGATCCACAAGATTCTCAGAACCGTCCGCTTCGGCTGTATTCTTTCAACTAACGGTTCATCTTTGGGTTTGTCGGACTTCTTAACTGTTAACATTCATTGCATAAGCCAAAAACGTATCATTTTGTTAGGAATGCAGGAAATGAACGAAATCCTGCCAATTCGACAGTCATTCAATAAATGAGTTTGACGAGTCTGGAAGTTTTGGAACTCTCATTATTTTTATTATAAAATAATGTTTTGCAAAAAATAATGCAAAGATATATCACCTTTTCCTTTCTCCTTCTTTAGAATACTTTTTGTAGTTTTCTATGAATAATATCAGTTTCAATTTCCGTATTTGATAGACACACTGTGAAGATAAAAGTTATGTAAGTGGAAATGAATTATAGAACAACCTCATGAAATACATTTAAAAAAATTCAATACATACTGTTTTTTATGTCAATATCTGATACTAGAAAAGCTGTAATGTTATTAACGGTAACGGCTTAATATCTCTACTGTATACATTTTTTAATAGAGGCAAATTTTGTTGGGAAAAGATATAAATCTTTCATCGAAGTTACGTTACTGCATGTAAGTGTACCAGAAAAATTCTGTAATGAATTATTTTTTTCTTCAAAAGTATGAAAAATACCGTTTCCAAATTGAAGAACCCATCAATTTGTGAGTCTTTATTAAGCTATAAATGGAAATATTAGTGAGGAATCACCATAACAATCGTTAATGTAAAATAATGAAAAATATTTCAAATGAAATTATATTACTCGAGACAAAGAGAAAGTTTCACATTTGCAGGAAAATTAACCGTTTCTGTTTCTACAGCTCAACGAAGTAGGTAACTGGGAAATAAAACAATTATGAATATTGTCATTGTTTCATGTCTTTGTGGTCTGAAACTTATAACGGTACTTTAAAGTCTCCGAGTTAGTCATTGAACTCAAATGAATTTGATAATATCAAAAGGTTGGTGAACTGAAATGTAATTGAAATGATTCTATACCGTTTCCTAATAGTAAAGAGTAATAAAAGCACACAATAAATGCAAAACGCTTACAAAATCTCAAACAAAACTGTGATACCATTTTGATTTGCCAAAACGATATAGGTTTATAATACTTTACCAGTTCCGCCAAATTTTTCTAACACAAACGGGTCGCAAATAAAATATTTCATTGGTGTTCGGGTTATTTTATAACCTGCAGTGGCGTGCATTTGGGTACCACCCGTGATATATTATTATCATTTTTATACCATTTTATTTCAAAACATTCACTTAATAATGAATAGGTAAGATTGTTCTTTGTTGAAGGACTCCATCCACTTAAGTCATATTTCGCCAATGTACTACTGACATCAGTTTGTGTGACCAATAGCAGCAATATTCCAGGGCGGGTACAGTTTGGTTTTAAATGAGCATCAAAATCTGATCTTAGATGGCGCATACGAAGTATATGCTAAATAAAGAAGATATAAGCAAAAATCATATGCGTCCGATAAATCTTCGTCGAATATTATGATTGAAGGTTCTACATTTTCCTCAATTGAATGGTCTAATTTCAACATGTGGTTTTCTTCTTTTATAACATGTTCAATACATTTTTGTTATTTTTCGAAATCGACATTTTTCAAGGACTTTTTTCAAAAGTGTAACAATGAAATCTTGTTTAAATTGAAAGGAGTACTTCTCCATCTTTATACAAAAATGTGGAAAACTCCCATTGTCTTCAAATATCACCATGAAGATGCCGAAATAGTACGTAAGTTCTTGAAACAAATGTTTTTAATTCACCGTACAAAACGTATTGGAAATCGCCTTATTGACTTTTTTGAGTAGAATTATTTTTTCTGATATAAAACAGCATGTTTCATTATAAATACGTTGTCCTCATCTACTTCTTTTTCCTTGAATTTAAAATTTTGCAAAATAATATGCTTTTATGATTAATAACGATATTTCAAATGTTATTTTCTGCTACAAAAAGAATCACAAGCATTGGAAAAGTTATATTTCCTTTGAGAAATTATAAAAGATGTAGTCAATAGTTTTTACCCTGAATAAGTGAAAAATCTACCTGTAAATCAAGGTAAATCACCCTTTCAGATGAATACTTAGTATAAACTAGTTTGACAAAGCATTTTAGATTCAGTACGGTGAAATGCATACTTTTTATAGCCACAGTAGAATGTCTTTTGAACGACAAGCTAATTTAATTTTGATTGGGGTTTGGTTTTGAAAGATAATTATAACTTATAACTGGGGTATTGAAATTTGATTCAGAATAACGAAATTATATGGCTGTTATTTTAAATTATAAACTGTGAATCCATGAATTAGTTCATCATTCATTCGTTTCGAAGGAAGTCAATTATGATTTTAGTCAACTGTAAATTAGTTCAAAAATGTAAGTTATGGATCATTTTACCCACTCACCGAACAAGAATCCGTCGCATAATTGACGCTTTTCTCAATAGTCAAAAAAAAATTCAATTGTTCATAACATTTAATTAATTTCAAGGAATTTCCGATTTATAAAAATGTATTCACTTGAATCTAGTTGTGAAACAAAATATGCTTGTCTCTGAGTCTGCATTTTAATTACTTGGAAAAACAAGTTTAGAAATAAATTTTCATCTCAGTCAGCAGTTGCTGGGTATATGAGTTATTCATACCTTCCTTACCGATGGGAAATGTTGTGTAATGCGACGATAACGTATATCGAGAATCACGTACCTACATTGCCAAATCCGACTAATACCAAAAATTTCAATTTCAAAGTCGACATCAGCCGATCACTTCTCGCAATTGAAATAAAAAGATTGGGTTCAATCGCGTCATACATAAAATTGCGATTTAATATTCATGAGTCATTGTACTCTGTGAAGGAGGTAAGAACGGAAGAAAGTCATTGGCGTTCGGATAGTATTTTGCGGATACAAGGCATTACATACGATTTCCAAATCTCCGTCTTGCAGTCCCTAAATTTAGTAAAAACATGAAAAAGTAACTATGCTCTCCAGGAGTTGATGGAATATAGAAAATATTATACAAGGCTACGTACATTCTATTAGCGATTTTTTGAATTTTTTATGTTGGTATGTTCACTTTCAGCAGTTTGGCATGCTCAGTTTGTTACAAGTGGTACAGTCTTTTCCAGACCCCTCTTTCCCAATGGGCACTTTGGGCAAGTGCTCAGGGCCCCGCGATCGATAGGGGCTCTCCTCAGATCGAATAAAAAATTATATCATATAATATATTATAGATTAGAATATATCACAAATGATATTATTTTTTATGAAATAAC